CAGTACTGAGAGGAAAATCCATTTTATCAGCAGTGTTTGCAAATGCAACCTGAGTTGTATGTGTGTTTTAAGAGAAAAAAGTAAAACTGACACAAAAAGTTTGAATTCCATTGCTAGGAAGTATCTCCTGCCCTTGGCTCCAGAGCTTGTGCAAATTAAAATGAATTCAACAAAGGATCCTAGAGTCCAGCTTCTTTTTCTTTAACCCACTGTGTTGGGGAAAAAAAAATGTAGAAACAACCCAAAATGATGGAACATCCATATAATGGAATAATAGCCTTAAAAGGAAGGGAAAGTCTGGCATGTGCCTCATCCTGGATGTACCATGGAGGCATTATACTTGCTAAAGAAGTCAAATACTGTGACTTCCATTTAAGAGGTATCCATAGAAGTGAGATTAGCATACAAGATATATGGATGTTTGTCAGGGGCTGGGGAGAGATTTGGGGAGTTGGTGTTTAATGGTACAGTTTCAGTTTGGGAACATCGAAGTTCTGGAGACAAGCTGTCTTAGTTATTTGTCTCATTCCTGAGACTAAATACTCAACAACCAAAATTTAATAAGGAAAGGTTTATTTACCTCACAGTTTCTAAACGTTTCAGTCCATGGTTGGCTGGCCCCAAGGCAGGGTTACATGGCAGGCAGGCAATGCAGAGGACAAATACCTTATGGAGGGCAGAAGGCTGCTAAACATTGAAGTAGTGAAACAGCAAACAGCAAGCAGTGAAAACAGCAGCTCTCTTTCTGTCCCTTTTATTCTATTCAGGCTACTTGCCCTTTGGGCAGACAGTACTCACAGTCAGGGTAGGCTTAATCCTAGTGCACACCATGAATCAACCCCAGCATCACATACTTTAGATCCAGTTACATCGCAAAAGCCCCACCTATGACTGCATGAGGCTTTGGGGGGACATCTACACACAAGTTATAACACTGCTAATGTTAAAACTTACAGAACAGTGTGAGTATAATTAATACCAATAAGTGAACATTTCAACTTTGTTCTGGGCTTAGTAATGGTGCACACCTGTGATCCCAGCACTCAGAAGGATGAGGCAGGAGGATCGCCACAAGTTTGAGGTAGCCTAGGCTATGTAGTAAGTAGGATGCCAGCCTGGAATACATAGTAAGAACCTGTCTCAAAAAAACAAAAATAAATAAACAAACAAATAAATTAAGACAATGAAAACAGACCAGAGGATGCAGCCATGACCACAAATACCTTATCTGTGAAAAAGGGGCCAAACATGTCTCCTGGAAGAAAGATAACCTCTTTAATAAATGGTGCTGGAAAAACTGTCTTTCCACATGCTGAAGAATGAAACTAGAGCCATGTCCATCACCATGCACTAAAGTCAAAATGGATTAAAGATGTAAATATTAAAACAGAAACACTAAATATACTGCAAAAGAAAATGGGTAAAAACCTTGAAGACATACGGGTAGGCAGAGAGTGCATGAACAAAAACCAAACTGCATGGGAAATACTGCAAAGAATCAACAACTGGGATCTCATCTTATTGAAAAGTTTTGCACATCTAAAGAAATCACCTACAGAGTAAAAAGGAAAACCCACAAATTGGGAAGAAATTTTGGCAAACTGTCCCTCGGACAAAGGACTTCTAACTAGAACATATAAAGAATTTTTAAAAATCAGCCCACCCAAATTCAAAGACCCAATACAAAAACGGGCATCTGAGATGAATACACTTTTCAGATAAAGAAATACAAATGGGAAATAAATACATGAAAAAATGTTCAACATCATTAGTCATTCAAAAAATAAAAATTAAAACAATAATGTGATTCTATCTCACAGAAAGAATGGCTACCATCAAGAAATCAACAGATAACGAATGCTAGAGGGGCTGTGGGGAAAAAGGAACCCTTCTCTATTGTTGGTGGGAGTGTAGACTGGTGCAACTACTGTGGAAATCTGTCTTGAGATTCCTCAGTAAACTAGGATTAGAGGTCCCATTCAACCCAGCTGGAGTCCATGGAACTTGACAGGAGGAGAATTTCTTTCCACAGGGAAAAAGTTCACAGACTGTATGGAGCCTTTTGAAGACAAGAGGGCTGTTTCCAAACAGAGCCGAAGGAAGTGCGCTCTGGACACAACAGGAATTGACTCCTGGCAGGATCCATAGGGGTGAGGGCCTAGCGGCCTCTCTGATTCCGCTGGGAATGCACACTCCTGGTTGAAATCCCGTGCTCTTCGTCCTCTCACCACTCCTTGTACCATCGATTCCTCGCCCACCCTCACCAAAACTGACTTAAAAATCAACCACAACTAAGGAAAGACCGACTTGACCCCCGCAGAATCAGCGGCAGAAAGCCTGCTGGGAGCAGTGACGTCACTTCCGCTTCCGGGCCCGGACCGGAAGGACAGGGACGCCAGGCTGTGACTCTGGCGCCTGGAACTGCTTTCATGCACAGAAATTCCAGTTTTCTCCGTTTGGGTGTGATGGGCCTGGGGATGGAGTCGCAGCCCGGGCTGAACGCAGATGCAGGGCCAGAGGCCAAGGTTGAGGTTGGAGGCAGGCGTTAGGTCGTGGCTTGAAGTGGGGCCAGGCCCATGCATGACTGGAAGCCAATAGGCAAGGAAGGCTAAGGAACCTCGAGGCAGGAGACCAAAGGACAGGCTTTTGTGAAAGCAACTAGACGTATTTTTAATTACCTGGGTGCAGGTAGGCAGAGAGCGACAAAGTAATCTGCCCTGCACAAAGATAAGTGTGCCCCTTTTATAAGGATGCAAAGAGGGCAGAGGAAGATTTAACAAATATCTGTGTAAAGTTTTCTGGCAGCCTTATATCCAGTGGGCAAACTCCTTGATTTATCCCTTCTACATTTTTTTGGTGCCTCCAGAGTGCAAAATTCCTTGTCCTAGCTTATCTCCTTTCCTGTGTTTGCAGATGCTTGCCTCCAGTGCTGAGCGGAATTCCCTACAGGGAGCAGTGCTTCTGCTGGCAGGCTGGGGGCTGAGAGAATTAGGCTAGGTTGGAGTCTTACATCAATTTGTTATAAAAGACAGCTGAGTTTGGCAAAAAGGGGAAAGAAAAGAAATGCATATAACCCTAAATAATGGTACATACATATAATGGATTAATAGCCTTAAAAGGAAGGGAAAGTCTGGCATGCAATACATCCTGCATGAAACTTTAAGACATTATACTTTAAGAAGTCAAATAATGACTTCAACTTATGAGGTACCCATAATAGTGAGATTAGCACCCAAGATATACGGTGTTTGTCAGGGTAAAGGGCTGAAAGGATTGCGGAGTTAGTGTTTGATGGTACCGAGTTTCATTTTGGGAACTTTAAAGTACCACAGACTGATAATGGTAAAATTTACAAGACAGTATGAGTCTAATTAATACCTATAAGTGAATATTTAAAATTTATGGTGGGTATAGTAGTGCATGCCTAGTCCCAGCAGAGGAAGCTGAGGCAGGAAAATCCCCATGAGTGTGACACCACTCTGGGTACACAGTGAGTTTAAGGTCTGCCTCAACTGCATAGTGAGACTCTCAAAAAATAATAATACAAAATAAAATTATTAAAAAGGCAAATTTTATGTACTATTTATTTTACCATATTTTTTGAGAAAAAGTCTCCCTAAGTTGCTCAGGCTGAATTCAAACTTGGGATACACCTGTCTCAGCCTCCCAGAGGCTGGCATTGTAGGTTTGCACCGCAGCACCTGACCTTACCACAATATCTAAGAAGTAAAGGGGGTTTATGGAGTGTAGCACATTAGTAGGATACTAACGTGTGAGACTACAAAAAAGCGCAGTCTATTAATACTTTTATTTGATGAACCAGAGATGTGGGGGCAGGGAGAGTTCAAAACCAGTTTTACTGGCAGTGCTAAAAAAACTAACCAAAAAAATAGAAACACTTTAAAGTGCCTGAACTTTATTACTAATACTACATTTATACATTCGAAAGTTTAAAACATTTTCAATCAACTGGTAATAAAATGTTAGATTTTTCAGTTAGTAATAAATTAGATGCTGCATCAAGGAATTCATCATACAAAAAAAAAATTTATGTGGCATTTCTCCCCAGATTTAAACAATGACTTAAACACCTAATACTAAACAACTTCTCTGGGGATTGCCAGGTAGGTCTAGGGGCTTGAACCAGAGCATTGTGTATATAGTAAGCACATGTCCTACCACAACCAATAAAACAAGTAAGAACGGCCTGCTACTGGGAAGATATTAGCAGACAGGCCAATGCTACTAGGAAGATATTAGCAGACAGGCGCAGGGGGCTGTGTACTCAGACATCACCGTGCACCAACGGATCCCAAGGAAAGATGGCCCTCTGACCAGAGAAGCCAGTATGCAATGCAGGCTTCTTATTGCCCAGGATGGCCTCAAATTTGTGAGCCTCCTGCCCAAGCCTACCAGAGTGCTGCGATTGAAAGTCACCATGCCTGGTTCCCAGGACATTTGCAGTAATATTAGAAGTGTAAAGTAAGATTTGAGAACCAGGTACACACCTGAAATTCTACCAATTGAGAGGCTGAAATAAGAGGATTCCTTGAGCCTAGGAGTTTGAGACCAACCAAGGTTTATAAAGACCCAATCCAAAAAAATATAATGGGCGGGGATGTCTATTCTAAACTGAGTGCTATACTTTATATATAAACTCACATTCCTTACTTTCATAAAAAAGAAAATTTCTTTTCTTCATGTTATTTTCACACCAGGTCTGTTTCCAGATGAGGTATAAGTGAATTGTAAGATATAAAAACAGAAAAACTTTTCACATATATTCCATTCCCAGAGCTGCTCTTTTATGTTGACTTCCTTCCTTTTTCCAATCAACTGAAACTAAATGAAGGCTTTCCCACATTCCCTATAACCTTAAGGCTTCTCTGCACACTGGGTTCATATACAAATATCATGACTCATGAAATATCTAAAGCTTTTCCCAGTCTTTACTATATTAGGTACTCAGGATAGTCACAATAAAATGACATAGACTAAAAGGCTTTTAAGAAATAATTTTATTGGCTTCCCCTTCTGTTGAAAGCCCAATATTAAGTTGTGGGCAGGGTTCATTTCTGTTCCAGACTTCTGTCCTTGTTTGCAAATAGTCACATTTTGGCATCTTCACATGGGTCTGCTCTGGGTGTCCCCTCCCTTGCATTTTCTTTTTTTCCCCCAGGAGTGAGGATTTAACACAAGGCCTTTTTACCAAAGTACATCCTCAACCCTTTATTTTTAATTTTGAGACAAATTCTTACTAAATTTCCCAGGCTAGCCTTCACCTTGTGATGCATCTGCCTCAGCATCCCAAAATGCTGAGATTAGAGGCATAATACACCATACTTCAATTCACTTTTCTCACAGGCACACTGAGGATGTTGTATTGAAGATTGACTCTATCAGCATCATTTCTTTTTAGCCGCATTTTAATAACGTGTGAAATCCAAGTACTCTTACACTGTGAGGAAGTAGGGGTTAGGGCTTCAAAATATTAACTGGAGGGGAAACCACAGTGTTTGAATCTGAAACTTTCTCTTCAGTGTAACTTCACATATGCATATTAAGGTTTGTAATTCCCAAGATTCTCTACATACATACGGCTTTCCTCCAGCAAGATTTTTAATGTATTTAGAATACAATAAAATTTTTTCACATCCCTGACTGACATAGAATCAATTCCACTATGAACACTTATATGTTTGTAAAAACCTGGATAGGAATAAAGATGTTCCTAAATGCCTTGCATTTGTAGGTTTCTCCCCAGAGTTCATTTGTGTCTTCAAAGTGAATAGGACAACTTTAAGTGTTCCCACAACTCCTGCATTGATAGCATCTCTTCAGTATGCCTTCATTCATAATTCTGAAAGGAATTTAGAGAACTGAGGGCTTCCCCACACTCTTTACATTCATAGGGCTTCTCTCCAGTGCGAGCTCTTTCATGTAACTGAAATAAATTGGGAAACCTGAAGGATTTCGCACATTGTTTATATTCATAAGGTTTTTCTCCAGTGTAGATTTGCATGTGATAGGTAACACATGTGGGAAACTTTCCCACATTCCAGATGTGCAAGGTTTTTTGGCACTGTGAGTCTGCATGTGATGATTGAGACCGGAAGAATGCGTAAAGGCTTTCCCACATGCCTTGCACTTAAAAGGCTTTTCTCCAGTGTGAATCCTTAGATGTTTACTAAGATTTGAGGAAATAGCAAATGCTTTCCCACATTTAACACACTGAAAAGGCTTCTCTCCGGTGTGAGTTCTCATGTGTTCCTTAAGGCGGGAGGATCTGGCAAAGGCTTTCCCACACTCTTTACACTCATAGGGTCTCTCTCCAGTGTGGATGCGGACATGCTTCGTGAGCTCTGCGTTCTGAATGAAGGCTTTCCCACAATCCTTGCATTTGAAGGGTTTTATCCCACTGTGAATTCCAAAGTGATCATGAAGGCACGAGGAGTTTCTGAAGGATTTCCCACACAACTTACAGTCTAAGGGCTTCTCCAGTGTGTGATTTTTCACATGTTCATTGAATTCAGATGATGTTGTAAAGACAATCCCACATTCCTTACATTCATAGGGGTTGCCTCCATTATGGGCTCCCATGTGAATATTAAGGTAGGCAGAATACATGAAGCCCTTTCCACATTCCTTATCCTTGTAGGGTTTTTCTACATCGTGAGTTTGCATCAGTATAGCAAGGTTGTTTGAGTGAAGAAAATTTATCCCATGTTCCTTCACTTCATGGAGTTTGTTTCCACTGTGTATTCCACTGTCAGTCTGAAGGTCTGATTGATCAACAAATGCTTCCCCACAGTCACTGCCTTCAAAGGGTTGGTCCTGAGTGCACCCTCCTGGGTAAAGGACAGTTGGAGGCTCGCTGAAGGTTGGCTCACACTGATTTGACATAGAAAGTTTCTCTCCAGAAGAGATTTCCTTGTGCAGAGAAAGGATGTCTATTCCATACTTATCACACTCAGAAGTGCTCCCTTTATTTTGAGTTGCTGTATGTGACCTAAGGCACTGGTGCCCACTGATTAAATCTTCACAAGGCTTACATTCACAGAGTTCTGTGCCACTGTGGTCTCCGGCCTGTTGACAAAAAAAATGAATGCTGCATAAAAGATTTTATAGATTCATTGAAAGAGTCCATGCAGCCAAAGACAGAAACATTATTATGATTATCTCAATGTGACCATTTGTATTACATATATACAGCTCCTGTTCAGTTGATTTATACTTTGAGTCTTGCTATATTGTCCAGACTGGCTGCAAACTCCTGGACTCAGGCAATCCTCCTTTCTGAGCCTCCTAGGTAAATAGGACTACTGGAATTGTTACTGCTTATAAAGAGATGTGGTGATAGGTGAGACTTTATAGAAGTGGCTTGATCTGGGATATATGATGCTGGGAATAAGGGTGTGACACTGAGATTAAGGGTATGTGATTACTACATTATCCCAGTGATTGGTTTAGCAGAATTCTGGGTGTGGATAATGGGAAGACCCACCCTGGGAGTGACAGGCACCACCCCAAAGCAGGTAGCCTGGAAGGAATAAAAGGGAGAGGCAGGCTGCTGCTACTTCACTACTTCGCAACCTTCTGCTTGCGATCAACGGTTTCTCCTTTGTGATTCCCTTCTGCCATGTCACTTTGCCTTGGGGCCAGGCAACTATAAATTAAAACCTCTTGAAAACTGTGAGCTAAATAAACCCTTTCTCCCTTAACTTGTGGGTGTGAGATATTTTATCACGGCAGCAAAGAAAAGTAAAGAAATCAGGCACAAGTTATCACATGTGATTTGTTAACTGCTTCAAGGTACAATGATAGAAGGTTTTGCTAAGAGCTCTGCCAACTACTTTGAATTTAAAAGATTTTTTTGGGTTTCAAAAAAATCTTTTTAAAACTACCTAGTTGGACATCTGAGAATATGTATCTGTGGGTACTCAGAAGCAACAAGCTTAAAGCTTTGTTAAGGGGCTTTTCAAAATTTCCATACTCCAGGCTTCCCTGCAAAGATAATACTTTCTCTCCCCCTTAGGTCAAGGCAACATCTCTCAAATGTTTCCACCTGTTCTCATTTTCTTTAACAGAATCCCATATCTTTTCTGAACGTGAAAGTAAATGTCCTGGTACCTGGGCATTGTGACACACACTTTTAATCACAGCACTCAGGAGGCTGAGGCAAGAGGATCACCATGAGTTCCAAGCCAGCCTTTGCTACATAGTGAGTTCAAGACCAACCTGAATAACAGAGTAAGACCCTGTCTCAAATAAAAAACAGAAATAAATAAATGAAACAAAGAAAGAGAGAGAGGGAGAGACAGAGAGAGAAGGGAAGGGATGGGAAGGGAAAGGTAGGGAAGGGAAGGGAAGGGAAGGAAGTGAGCCTTACCATGAATATCTCCCCAGAGGTTTGTCCCCTCAGAAAATCCTGCTGAAATGCTGACCCTTCAGTTTGAAGTCCCACTTTCCGTTCTGCAGTCAAAGATAACAAGAAATGTAAGGGTTCTAGAGACAGACATGGCAGTAGAAGAAGGAGGTAAAAATTATATGGAGCATTTCTGTTTACAAATTAAACAAGGTTTTAGAAAAAAGCAGCAATAAGATAGTTATGGTGACAAACACCTCTACTACCAGCACTTGGGAGGCTGAAGCAAGAGGATTGCCATGAGTTCAAGGCTAGCCTAGGCTACATAGTGAATCCAAGGCTAGCCTGAACTTTATAGCAAGACCTTATTTCAAAAACCAAAAAAGAAAAGAAGCAGCAGCAAAGAAAAGGTCACAGGGTCCAAAAATATTAGATGATTTATAAAAAATAGAGTGTATGAAAATTAAAACTAGCAGGGCATGGTGGTACACGCCTGTAATCCCAGCACTTGGGAGGCTGAGGCAGGAGGATCACTGCGAGTTTGAGGCCAGCCTGGGCTACAAAGTGAACTCAAGGCCAACCTGAACTTCATAGCGAGACCCTGTCTCAAAAAGACAAAAAAAAACAAAGAAAGAAAGAAAATTAAAACTGGTGGTAAAGACAAAGGACATTACCATAGAAACAAATGAAAATGCAGAACAAGAGGCATACATCTAAACAATGAGCCTAAAGAAGGAACACAATGATATATATTGTGAGATTACAATATAGATTGAGGAGATAAAAAGTAAAAGCACACAGAGGTTGAGGATTCCTAACTTCTGAGGAAAATGACATAAAGCTTCTGAGATTAAAAGTTTCCTCATTATAAACAGTGAACTTGCTGTGCAGAGTCCTTCTCCAGGAGCACTCACCTTGGAGAGCTCCTCCCTCCCCTGTCCTTAACTCTTCTTGTTCCAACCAAGAGATGAGGCTGGGTTTCAGGAGCTCACATCCTATAGGTGGAGAAAGACACATTCACAGAGTAGAAGAAATGATGGGCCTTCCCCAGTTTCAGGAGATAATAGAATAGATAATATTAGATAATAGAATTCTATTATCTATTCTATTGCTATTAGATAATAGAATAGATAAGAGATAAAATGAAATAATTTTACAAAACATGCAAATATCCTCTCTCACTTGCCCCAAAAATATTGGTATCTCTGACCACTGAAACCCAAATCCAGTCTACGGCTATACCACCCTGAACCCGCCCAATCTCGTCTGAAACCCAAATCCAGGCTTATGTTCACGTTTACAAAATACTAAGACTTTTACCTGAATAAAAAACAAAATATATAAAACAGAAATCTTCATTTTCATGGAAGAAATGACTGTCCTTGTGAATTTCTTTGTATGTGTGTTATGGAACCCAAGTTCTTGCCCCACTAGGAAAGCGCTCTCCCTCAGAGCCATACCCCCAGCCTGTACACCTGTGATTATGAAACCTTACCCTGGAGACCTTACATAACACAGATGCCATGGCCCAATCAGTATGCTAAAGATGGAGACTGAGAATGTACATGTCAAACAGTGATAGGGATGCGATGTTCCTCATTTCAAACATTCTGAGAACCGTGAGTGTAGAGTAAAGCCTCTCGTGGCAGGGGCTATATCTCTGTTATTTCTCCCCATATCCACAGCTGATATCACTGACTCTGCACCACTGTAAGCACTCAGCATATCTGTTACCTAAGAGGCTACAAGCCCACATGGCGGTCTTACCCACACAGGTCAGGTTGTGGAAGTTCTCCAGCATCACATCACTGTACAGCTTTCTCTGAGTTGGGTCCAGTGAAGTCCACTCCTCCAGGGTGAAGTCCACAGCCACATCCTCAAAGATCACTGACTCCTGTATCATCACACACAGGCTGGTTTGAGCCAAGTAACACGTCCACTCATGTTCACGGGAGAATAAGAAAGTAACACCAATGGTTGTCTAGAGCTCTGAGGTGCCCCACTGTCTACTCCAGGGTTCAGTGGTCCAAGGGACACATCCCTCTGTCCACACTCATTCACAGTGGATCTCCTCTGGTCACATGGCATTAACGGCTCTTCTTACACATGATCTTATCACAGTACCACCAGACCAGATGTTCATGCTATTTCCCCCTGTGACGGCACACATGGAGCACACTGCAGATGCCTGCTAAATGTGAGGAATGAATAAATTCTTGAGCCAAAAGACACTGTCACATCCCTCACCACCTGATGGGATGTTCAGCAATGTCAGAAACGTGCAGTTGGCTCCACGAGGGAAGACTGGTTAGTAAACGTGAAATACTGCGAAGATGTTCAGTGTAGTCATCCACCAGTGTAAGTGGCGCCCCTCCCTGCAGAAATTCAATAAGGGACTCAGTCCTGGAGTGAAGCTTTAAGAAGGGAGAAGGTCTGAAAATCCAGGTGTGGTGGGGCACTCCTGTAGTCCTAGCTACTCAGGCGGCAAAGGTAGGAAGAAAGCTTGAGGCCAGGAATACAAGACCAGCCGGAATAAAACAGCAAGACCTTGTAGCTTTAAAATATAAGGGAATTGGTAGATGGAGACAGAGAAATGCTGGATGTGGTAGCACATGTCTCTAATCACAGCACTTGGAGGCTGAGGCAGGAAGATCACAATGAGTTCAAGGCCTAGGCTACACAGTGAATTCAATGTCAGTGTGAACTGCATACCAAAACCCTCTCTCAAAGAAAATCGTAACAGATAGTAAGACCCCATCTCTTTCATAAACAGACAGAAGATAGACAGATAATAGGTAGATAGATAGATAGATAGATAGATAGATGTCATGAAAATGATCCTGAATAGAAGGAAGTATGTCCCTCTGGTGGATGCAAGTTTATGACTGTGTAGATCTATTGGAGCGTACCTGGTAACAATTTGAAAGCCAGTCAGTCATCTTCTTTTCAGACTTTGTCTTTTCTTCATGAAGGTAGACTGGGTCACTCTAAAAAAAAGACTTTATGGAAAAGAAAGAAGACATGAGAACCCAGAGTTATCCATACTTCCTATTTTCACATGCCTGGAAGTTATTCCATCCTACTTCAAAATCCCCATACATATTGGGCTGCAGACACAGCCTAGTAAAACAGTGTCTGCCCAGCTTAGAGGCGGCTCTGGTTTCAATCTCCAGCACCATCCAGCACAACAAAAATGCAACAAAAAACAAATCCCCATACATCCGTGCACACTCAAGAAAACTTCCAAAAATACACTTTACTCTCATGAGATGCCACAGCAGCTCCCTCACACAGAGCCCAAAAGAGGAGACTGCGTGCCATGCTGACCACCAGGAAGAAGATCACAGTTTCATGACCCATAAGGAAAGTTAAGCCCTGGGTAAATATGCCCATCTGTCCATGGAAGCTCATGAAACTATGTTAGATGCCACCCAAAACACCCACGGGAGGCTCACTTCTGCACATACTAAATAACCCAGCAGCTCTAGACTCCATACTGTGCTTAGGGAGGAGCTAAAGCAGAGTCTCTGAAAGATCATGATGGACTCACCATGGGAGCAAACAATGGCTACCACTCTCCCTGTGAGGCTGATGGCGCTGTGCATTTGAACAAGCCTTTCCTGACCCCAGGTCACTTCAGGACAGCTTCTGAAGCTCCACGGAAGTGGCAGTCCCCATTCCTCTTCATTCAAGGTTGAGGCCTGTCCACATCAGCATCAATCAACACAATCAATTAAAAGAACCCAACATCAATATACATGATATATGTGACAACCACTAAAACAATCTGACAGTCATATTAGAAACATCAATGCCATTTACTGAGAATTAGAAAATGTCCAGAATTGCACTAGGAGCTTTATGGACACAAGCTCACTTAACATGTTCCCATGGGTTGAACCACTGGTGGTACATGCATGACTGACCCATCAGGCCGCCTGTACCACCCAATGGGACTGTCCCATGTTGTTTGATGGGACAGCCATACATATACCATCAGTAGTTCTGAGCCACCTGGCTGCAAGATACATGAATTACAGCCCCTTAATCATTGTAACGATCCTTTATAAGAAATGTCATTATGCCTAATGGGTATTGGAAAAGCCTAGTTTCAGAAATCACTCGTAATCAGCCCAATTTTACCTAGTTAGCAGATGATGAATGAGCACTTCAACACAGTTACATTTGTTGTTACTATCTGATCTACTGCAGGGGTTGTTACAGAACCAATATCCCTTATCCAGTACTTGGACTACAACGGTTGATTTATAAAGGATTGTTTATCTGAAATGCTTTGTGCATGCAAAAAAAAAAAAAAAGTGCCTCTGCTTTCAGAGATTTTCAGGCTCTGAAATATTTGCATAAACTTTACCTGGTTCAGCCATGCATTCAAAAAGCTTTGGCCAGCCAGGCTTGGTGACACATGCCTGTAATCCCAGCACTTGGTAGGCAGAGACAGAATCAGCTTGAGTTCAAGGGCAGCCTAGGCTACATAGTGAACTCAGTGACAGCCTAAACTACATAGCAAGACTTCCTGTCTAAAAAAAAATAAAATAAAATTCAACCTCAGAGCCTTTTGGATTTCAGATTTTCAGAAAGGGAATAGTCAATCTATACTTCTCAATGTGACCAGAAGTCACTTTAGACCTGAATTATGCAACATAATACTCACTAGGCATGTGTATTACTGAAGCTATGACACAGTAACAGTGAGACCTTTACTAAAAAAAAACAAAAACAAAAAAAAAACAGACTAACAACAGTCCATGGGACACTAAGTACCAGGTGGCCTGAGCCTCCTGCCATGAACTGGGTAGTGACCCACCAAGCTGTAAGTTTGACAACAGATTCCAAGAGCTATCTGTCATTAAACAGAGATGGCACAAAAGACACTAAGGTGACATAGGTCTAGGGAGAGTAAGTACACAGCACATACAACCAAGCCAAAGGCAAAAGTCATGAGACGTATTAATCTACTGGTCTGATTGATGCCAAATTGCCAAATGTGGGGAGTGGCTAAAGGTGAAGATCAATCATGTGCAGGGCTAGAGCAAGGCCAGCCCCAAGAACACAGGTTGCCTGAAGCCAGCCAGGTGAACAAGTTGTTAGGCAAAGGAGTTTCAACTGACATCAGCCTGCCAAGTGTATAAACCAGAGCCTCTTGGGTGACTCTTTTCTCCAACTAAGAGAGAGGGCTCCACCTGACCTCAGCTTTCTGCATTTCTAATCTTGTCTTCTTCGTGGTTCTCCCCACCCTCTGGGAGTTTTTCAAGAGCTGCGCTGGATGCAGCATTTTGACACCTGAACAGGGACCTGGGGTACAGGAAAATTCATCATATAGCAGATGAGAGAATACCTCTACTTGTGCACACAAAAAGGAGAGAGGTATGTTGATAGAATCAATGTTGATGCCATCAATATTAACAATGTTGATCCTACAAGTGTACTGATATCATCACCACTGGTCCCATCGATATCATCAACACTGAGCCTATCATCAGGTGTAAAACATGGGGCAAACAGGTTCTCAGGAACAACAGCTATGTATAGAAATGTTTGTTGTGTTATTGAAAACAAAAGGTTCAGATGTAAAGATTTCTCAACTGACAGAATTCCTCATCTTTGTGTAAGAGATATGTCTCTGGTTCCTGGAACAAGGAACAGTGAACTCTCAGATATGGAGGTATGTAGGGCAACAATTGTGTGCCTGGTATACTGCTGAGGGGCCTGAGTGTCATCCCATACTTACCTTTCCTTTGTGGACCTTAACCAGGGAGTGTCTTGATGATTGTATGCCTATTGAGATGACCACAGTGGGTTTGGCTCAGAGCATTATCTTAAAACTAAGCCCCAAGCAGAAAAAGGATAGTGGAGCAACAGCCACCAACCCCCAAAAGAGCTTGAACCCTCTAGCTTTTCTCAGTCAGATAAGGAAAGAGCTGTGCAAGGTAAAGACCTTTCCCCACAAGAGGAGCATTTCACTGCAACTTACATTTCACGGCTGCCCAAAGTAAAACCAGTAACATTAACTGTGCCACAAGTTGCTACTTCCACTTTCTCAGTTCAGAAAAATTTTGCTGCATCATAGGCTGAGATTTGCACTCTTCACAGGTTAGAGTCATCCTTTCTCTCTTCCTTGCAATTGGTGGTAAAAGAAACCAGGGAGCGGGAAAATCCCTGGAGGGTTTTCAACAGGCCTACCCTGTTGTTGAGGCCCAAGATCCCAATAATCTGGGACAAGTTATACTTCTTCATTAAGCTGTACCGTTTAAGACCTTAAAAAAACTAAAACAAGCAACTGTTACCTATGGTCCCACAGCCCCTTTTACCTTGAGTTTTATAGAGTTCATAGAACAACAGATTACGGCCCCAAATGAATGGAAAGGAATAGCTAAAGCATGTCTAAGTCTAGGGATTATTTATTGTGGAAGGGAAATTTTTTTGAGTTGTGTGTGGATCAGGCCACTTGCAATGCCACTCATAACATGTCCATTACAAAAGACATGTTAACTGGAGAAGATACCTTTGCTGCTACAATCAAGTTACTTTTGAATCACAAGCATATGAACAATTTAAATAGCTGCCACAAGGAGTTAGAGGGAACTTCCTTCAAAGGGTGAGATATCCCTTGATCTGACCTCCTTCACCAAGGTCCTGATGAAACTTTTCAGGATTTTGCAGAATGCTTATTGCAGGCTAGTGGGAGAATTATCAACAATACAGAGGCTGGCAAGTTAACTGTTCAACAACTGGCCTTTGAAAATACAAATAAGTGGTGTAAAGAGGCTTTATGAGCCCACAAAAAAATGATTTATGCTGTCTGAAAAGATTTGAATATGCACAGACATTGGCCCCTCCAATGTTCCGAGGCTGCTTTGACAGCAGCTATCACTCAGAGTATTCATCCACAGCCTAAAGGAAAGGGAAAGAACAAGGTCACTTGTTTCAGCCATGGAGGCGGGGGACATTTTGCTCGAAATTGCTCTGTTGCACCTGTAGGGGCAGCACAGCCACTATCTGTCCTTTCAACAAAACCTTATAGTATCTGTCCAAAAAGTAGATGAGGATATCATTGGGCTAAAAATTGTAAATCCAAGACTGATGTGGAGGGCCAACCTATTCTAAGAAATTTCCAGCAGGGCTGGCCCTGGGCCCCACCAAACAGTGGGGGCAAGTTCCCTACCCCCTTCAATCCTATCCTGGACCCCACGTTTCTGACCTCTGGCAAGCAACAAAAGACAGCAGAGGCTTAGACCCCAGCCTCTCCTCCAGATTTGTCCTAACTTCTGAAATGGGATCCTAAGCCATTCCTACTGGAGTCTATGGATCTTTGACCCAAGGAACAGTAGGACTCCTGCTAGGCCACAGCAGTCTCACTTCCAAAGGTCTCCAGTGTCACTGATGCTAATTATACAGGGGAGATCAAAGTTATGATTCAAACTGTTCAACAATGGCTGTGGCAATTTTTTTCCTCTTGGCAATCTGCACTGACGCTAATTATACAGCAGAGATCGAAGTTATGATTCAAACTGTTCAACAATGGCTGTGGCAATTATTTTCCTCTTGGCAATCTGCATTGGCTAACTTCTCTGGTGTTACTGATTGTCATTATTCTCCAGACAAATTAATTCAATATGCTTCCCTCATACCTTTGTCCTCCTTTCAAAAATAAGCTCTGTTCCCATATGGGTCCTTCTAGGGCAGGGGAGGTTATATTATGGCCTCCTCTTCCTAAATACAGGATATAGGTTTTTCTTCTGCACAAAAGAATGAGTTGCAGGCTGTTCTATGGGTCTTGCAAGATCATTTATCCACTCCCATCAACCTTTTTCAGAGAGTGCTTCTGTTTGCAGTATGGTGCATCACATTGAAATAGCCACTATTCGCACAGGCTAAGATCTTTTTTACTTATTTCACACTCTCTAAACTGTCATTTGGTCAGGCCATGTCCCCTGTTTTATCAGTCATTTACATTCTTAATCGCACTTACCAGGGCCTCTCACTGAGGGAAATGCTGCAATAGACAGACTGCTGGCTACTGTCACTCTTGCTCCCTCAGATACCGTTCAACAGGCTCCTGCCTCCTACACCATCTTCCATCAAAACACTTCTGCCTTGTGCAAACAGTTCCTTTTAACCCAGGAAAGGCTTTAAATTGTTAAACAATGTTCCTCATGTGTAATGCATCTTCCCTCACTCAATATGAGAATTAATCCCCAAGGGTTACATCCTAATCACCTCTGGCAAATGGATGTCACTCGCATTCCTGAGTTCAGCTCTCTATGTTGGGTCTAGGTTTCAGTGGACACTTTCTTAGGATTTATTTTTCCTTCCACCTGCACTGGTGAAGCAGCTAAACATGTCACTGTTTATTCCCTGGATGCTTTTGGTACCCTTGACTGCCTGTGGGCACTTAAAACTGACAATGGCCTAGCTTATATGAGTGCTGCCTTCCAAACATTTTGTACAACCTTTCACATTTCCCTTACCACAGGAATTCCTTATAACCCTAAGGTCAAAGAATTGTTAAACATGCTCACTGTATGCTCAAAATTCAACTACAAAAACACAAAGAGGACTCCTTTCCTACAAAATTCACATCTCATAATAGACTTCACTTGGCATTATATACTATTAACATTTAAATCCTACTAGGGATGGAACTACAGCAGCAGACAATTCAATCAGGTAAGGAAAAGAA